TAATTAATTTCATTGGAATTTTGTTGCTCTGAGGGAACTAAATTTGTATAAATCTGTCATTTTCCAAGGAGTAATACTTAATGTTTGTGGTTATTCTGGAACCCTAGATTGCCATAATGCTTTTGCCTTGCTTGTGAGGCCACCAACAGAACAGGCAAACGTGCTGCTCAGTTTTCAGATGACATCGGATGAACTTCCAAAAGAAAACTGGCTAAAGATGCTGTGTCGACACATAGCCAACACTATTTGTAAAGCTGATGCTGTAAGTTCTTAAACCAGTCTTATAATGAAAGTTTAAACTCCGTGGCAATGCATTCAGACTAAACCTGTACATTTCTTTTTTTAAAGTTATCTATTTTTTAGGTCCCTGTTTTTCACACTGATAAATCTGTATGTTTCTAATGACTTGTGTATTATGAATGTAGGAGGGTTTTAGTTTTGTGTGTATTCAGAAAAACTGGTTTAATAAGTTGTTTTGGAAAAGATTTTTAAATGTTTTGGCACAAGAAACATTTCTTTGAGTCCCTGGCTTATATACAGATAGACTCTCATAGTCTTCTAGCTCCTGTGGCTTAGATTTAGTGAGGCTTTTGGGATTTTTTTGTAATGTACCCTGTGATTTTCATTGTTCTTGTAGATGTGGCTATTAGTAAAATAGAGGGTATTTTGTTCTTTTGTTTTTTCTTAATCTTATTGAAAACAATAGATGGGTTGTTGCATGTTGCTTTTCGTATCAGGGCAAGCTGCGAATCCATTTTTCTCATGCCAGCCTCTTAAAATTGAATGCCATTATGAATATATAATTACCATTATTACCATACAGATTAAAGCAAAAATAGATGAGAAATCAAAATACTGAAGTTAAATGACTTATCAGAAATCGGGTGTTCTCTGGTAGATCTTGGATAAAATCTAGATCCCCTAAAATATAATTTGATTTCTTCATCTCCATATGAGAGAAACACATAATAGACAGACATAGACCCCTTAGTCTTTGCACAAATGACATAGATTTAAGAGAATGTGTTGATATAATAGATGACCCTTTTCACTACAATAGTACTGTAACTGAAATTGCCTTGGGCATTTTTGTGGGAATAAAACATTTTATCATAGTTAAGTCTGACCTTGGAAGATATTGAGGTATACTGTGGTTTATAAAGTAGATAATCCTTGATTAAAACCTCCTACCAAAGTGTTTAGAACAATAATCAGACTTTGTGATTTGTTTTT